GCCTATGGCTGGCATGATGCCACAAATGTGGCCTGGCGCAATGCCGCAGGGTTGGCAGCCGCATATGCAGGGTGATCCCCGCGAGTTCGAGAATCCGAACTCGCCGCATACCCCTACATGGGGTGACGGTGACGAGTTGGCCGAGACTGTGCCTCCTCCCCCTGGGGACTGGAATGTCAGCAAGGGGAAGGGGCGGCACGGCGGTGGACGACATCGGTGATACCTGGAGTCTGTCCATGCGTTTTGCATGGCTGCGCCAAAGCGCGCATACCTTCATTCCGGAATTCACAAGATGGACTATGCTCCTTGTAGTATTTCTTTGTCTGGGCTATTCGCCGTTTCAGAATTCAACTGCATGCGTAGCTGTGCGCTATTCGCGCAAGCTGCGATTACCTGTCAGGTGTGCATCGCCGCAGCAAGGCAGTCACTCTCGGCGGCGTCTATGGCCGCTGGTGGTCTGCATCCACCTGCACCGCTGCTGCTGCTGGTGATGGTGCTCATCGAGGTGCCGAGGTGGAGATCACGGGTGCCCTGCACCGCTGCCGGTGATGTCCTACTCGGACCTGGACCGCGGATCGCTGCTGGTGGTATCCATGGCGATTGTCCTCGAGTGATCGCGCGCCTAGACGGTGCTAATTTATAACCAAAGCTCATTGGTCTATGCACCATGTTTCAACCAACTGGCCAATGCGCCTAATCTAATAATTAAAAATTAAATCCACTTGAATCAAATGGTTCAATGTGGTTGCAATGCAAATGACAATTCTTTGGCTTCATGCCGGCCATTCCGAAGTTGATCCTTTGTTTTTTTGTTTCTTTTGTTGCTTTCTCTTGTTTGATTTGGCTACCGGCGAGAATCCGCCCCATACCCGTAATTCGGGGTGGTGGCGGGATCCGGGCTTCAATGCGAGCCCGGGTATGGGGTCGCGAACCCTGGTAGCCTAATCGGCTTTGTTTGTCTTGTTTGTTGCATTTAAACTTCAACATGGCCAATGCGCCCTTCCAAATTCACTCCTTCTCTTTGTACAGGCGAGGGGGGTGTTTTTGGGGGCATGTACTTTTATCATAGCAGTTTGTAGTACGCCATTACCCAACGCGGTATTTGGCTCAAGTTTAATCTCCGGCAGTTCTCACCTGCCATCTCGTCACTCGCTCGCGGCGTCACTGGCCATCATCTCCAAGCAAAAGTGCGCGGAGCTGATAGGCCGTGGTCCGGGTCTTCGTGGAGGTGGGTCGGGTGTTGAGTTGGGAGGTCGCCCTTTGTTTTGCTTCTGCACGCTTGCTCGCTTCGCTCGCTTGGTGCTGCTTGCTGCTGGTTTGCTTGCCTGCTTTGCGCTGTGCTGCGCTTCTGCTTGGTTCCTTCTTGTTACAACGAGGCACCCCTTTTGGTTCGTGTTAGTGCCGGCCGGGGGCAACTGCTTTGCCCTTGGGACCGGGGGGATAAGGTGGTCTCTTCTTGTTGGTGGGTTAGGGCCTGTTTTATCCATCCCGAAACTCTGTTTCAAACCCTTTCGCAAAAACATTATTTAGGGCCCCCCCTAAATAAAGATTCCTGGTTGCCCCCCCCTCAAAACAAAGTATCACCAGCAATACTAAATCAATTGGAATCCCAACAAGTCAAATCTCAAAACGAGGCTCCAGCAATACTAAACCAGTTGAAACTCAAATCCCTCAGCAATACTAAATCGATTGAAACACAACAATTCTGTGAGCAATACTTTGCAATTCGTAATCAAGTTGCAAGAACTATTTGGGGAGGGAAGTTGTTTGAGGGGTGTGTGTTTATTAATCAGAGGTGGATATTATACCTGAGCCTTCCAACATGTGCAAAATCAGTGCTGTTTTGTCAAAAACTATGTTTGTTGACCGAACAGCAATCATTTTCGACTGCCGTCAGGTTTCAGTGTTTGCACACTCTAGCATCAATCAAAATTGCAAAACAGCGTAATTTGCCGTCGAAACGGCGAAAATTGTCGGCGAAACGGCTTTCTTTTTGCCTGGTCATGAGCTGGACTCATGGCGAGCGCTTTTTCTCCGAAAGAGCTTCTTTTCAGCAACCGGCGAAAATTATTGGTGTTTTGTGGAAACGGCGTCTGAAGGGGCAAGAACACAAAGAAATTAGCCCAACGTCAGCAGCGATAGTCCAGTCAATAGATTTTAAGGCGTTTTCAGGCTGAGGCTCCCTTAACCCTTCATGAACTTCCAGCAGGGGGCTGGTGTTGAGGGAATGAGCTGAAACACGCGCACACACACCCACACGCACACACACACACAAGCAACACGCAACGCGCAACACGCACACAGACACACGGACACACAGACACAGAGACACACACACGCACACCCGCATGCACACACACACACACACAACCACCCACCCACCCACCCACGCACGCACGCACGCACGCACGCACCCACTCCCACACGCACGCGCACACGCACCACGCACCAGGCACCAGGTACCACGCACCACGCACCACGCATCTCGCACCTCGCACCA